AGTCATGCCGCCAAACACATACACGCGCTCCCGCACGCACGCCGCCGCGTGCGACAGCCGCGCCGTCGGCTCCTGTGCGGCGGCGCCGGCGGCGCCGGCCGGGGGGCGGGCGGCGGCGGGCGCCCAGCGGAGGGTGTCTGCTGCGAGGACGGAGGCGGAGGAGGAGGCCTCCTCGCCGCGCAGCCCAAACAGCACCTGCGGCGGGGGCGAGGCGAATTGGTGGCGGAGCGGCACGGCGGCAATGCGCCGGTCCTTTTGCAGCATGCGCTGCCGTGGATTCTGTCGCTTCCCTGAGAGCGGCCATCGCCATCTCAACAAATATGTTGTCAGCTGCAACACAGGCCCCCGCCCCCGAGGTTGCTGCCAGCCGTCGGAGCCCACCACGAGGCGGCGGCTGATGCTGGTGGCCGTGTGGCCATGCATCCCCGCGTACCGCCGCGCGCCCTCCGGCCGCTCCCACTGCAGGCTGTCCAGGCTCAGCGCCGCCACGTCCCGCCCCGCGTCGTCGTGGGTGCGCGAGTGGCCGCCCATAAGCACCAGCTGCTTGCCGCCTGCGGGGCCGGCCGACCCGTGCGCGCGCGTGCGCGCATGAGCGCGAGCGCGCAGCCTCGGGCGTGGCCTGGACGCGGCGGGCAGTGCACACAGGTGGCCGCGTGCTGCAAGCGGCACCTGGCCGCCGCTACCCCTGACTTTGACCAACACAGGCAAACCGCTCACCAGGTCCCATATCGCAGCCGGACGCCAATACAACAGCAGGCCGCCCGTTGCTCTGCCAAGGATCCCGCGGCCGCACCTGGCAGGGGTGTCAGCGTGTTGCCCTCGCGGTCGGCCGGCACGTCGCCCCGCAGCCGCATGTGGCTCGTCTGCAGTAGCCACGGCTCGTTGAACAGAAGCTTCAGCTGCGTGGTCCCGGCGCACTTGAGGGTCAGCTCCTCTATCTGAGACCTGCATCAGCGGCGCGTGCGCGCGCGTGAATGCATGCGCAACACAGTTCAGCCGGCAGGCTGAATCCAGGCGCGACAGCAGCGCGCGTAGTGTCGGCGCACAAAGGGGTCAGTGGCCGTGGGGCTGCTGCCCCGCGGCCACCATCAAGCCCTGAAACCCTGCCAGCGACAAACCCCTGCCGCACCGCCACTCTGCCGCATGCCAGCCGCAGCTCTCACGCGATCCACCCGCCCCCGAAATCGGCCGCGCACTCTGCCTTGGCAATCGCCTCGTTCTTTGCATCGACCTGGCCCCGCGCCACCTTCAGCTCCCGGTCCAGCTTCTCTATCGCGCCGTGCTGCCGCTTCACGGTCTGCTCCAGGGTGTCCCGGTCCGTCAGCATCGAGGCCGCGTCCTCCACGCGCGACTGCAGCATGGAGTTGTCACCCTGTGTACACGCATGCGCGTGCATGTGTGCGTGCGCGTGTTTGCGTGCTTGGGCCGGCGCTCGCATGCACTATACAGATGTTGCCCGATGCCGTGCGCAATCATGTCTCTGGAGACAAGTGCCCAGCAGTGGGTGTGCAAGGGTGTGGCGGGGCCTGGCAGTCCCGCGGCAGCACAGTTGTCCCTGAATACATGCTGCCACCATCACCGCAACCTCCGCCTGTCGCCACGCCCTGGCCCTCAGAGCCCAGGTCAGCCCACTTTGAGCTTCCCGATGTCGTCGTTGCACTGCCCCAGGTCGGCCCTCACGCGCTCCAGCTGCCCCGCCAGCTCGCCGCACCGCGCCTCTGCCGCCTTGACCTGCTCCTCGCGGTGCTCCAGGATGTCAGCCTGGTCAGTCGCGTGTGTGGGGGGTGCGTGTGTGCTTTGGATGCATGTGTGGGCGGGGTAGGACGAGATGCAGTGAATACTGTTCCGCAGCTTGGAGAGCAGCAGCAACACTTGGTAAGCCAACCGTCCAGCTTCAAGGAGCCACGGCTGCCTTCCTGCCACCGCGCACGCTCCGCAGCCCCAAGCTTGGGCCTCTTAAGAGCCGACCAAGTGGGGATGTGAGCGGGCAGCCGAGATCCAGGGGAGCCGCTGCTCACATAGTCGCGCGTCGCGCTGACGATGCGCTGCCTGAAGCGCTCCACCTCTTGCAGCAGCCGCTCGTTCTCCAGGCGCGCCTGGTGCAAGGGCAAGCATGCGGACGCGAACGCATGCCTGGGTCAGCATGCTGCTCCCACAAATGCTGGCATGCTGTGTCGCTTTGAGATTGGCGTTGAAACACTGCATGCGCACAATGCACCGCAATTGCATGCAGCATGCCAGCCCCATGCGTGCCCTGCCGTACAACACACGCGCGCGCACAACCGGAAGTACACACACAAACACACACACACACACACACACACACACACCATGTGCAATTACACAGCCTGTGCATGCGCTGCGCCCCGCGTGTGCGTCTCGCCTGCTTCAGCTTGTCTGTGAGCATTGCCAGCGCAATCTCCTGGTCCTGCTTGAAGCCTTCCAACACAGCAAGCTCCCCTCGAAGCCGGTCCCTGCACATGGTACACACGTTTGATGTGGCTCCATGCTGTATCCTGGCCATGGATGCTGCTCGTCTAGAGTTTGTTCGCGCCAGGTGCACACACGGCTGTGCACTGTTAGCACACAGTGACAGTGCACAACGAGCACCGGCGCGGCGAGGCGATGGCGGCGACACCAGCCCTGACGACAATCCAGCTTACGCTCACTCCGGAGAACCTTCATCTTTCTTTTTTGCGTTCTTATCTTCCTGCTTCGGCGGCATACTTTGCGCTCGGCCTTGTTGCGAGATCGCCCAGGTTTGACCGCGCCGTATGTATAGCTCATACAAAACTCTGATAGGAATGGAGTGAACCACCTTGATAAGCACAGAACCGCGCACATTTCCAATTTGATCTGGGTCGTCCCATGAGTCATGGCCACCATCACAACAGGTGAGGTATACCCGACCTGCCGCAGAGTGGCCCAGCCCAGCAGGCAGTTGTGCAGGCTGTGATGCTCTAGCCTCCACTCTTGAGGCAAACAAATCGAGCAATGATGAGCGGCACGCGTTGCCCTGATGAGTCTCTTTGAACGAGGTGGAGGCAACATGGTGGTCAGTCTTGTATATGCACAGGGTTTTGTTGATGTTATGCTGGGGCTCAGCCAGGACCAACACATACGAGCAGCAATACCACCTGTGTCTCTGCAATTTTATAACAGGACCGCCCTCTTCTGGGCCCGATTGCTGTTGCTGGCCCAGGCGTGCAAGTGGATGTGGGCCTCTCATGACGTCAGGCGGCTGGTCCCGTTGTATTTTGCCCTCTGCATATCGTTAGTCCCCGCATCCCCCAAAGCCTATGTGCTGGTGTGCATGCCTCGATGTGAGCGGGCGGGGCCCCCACACGCACACTGCTCCAAACCGCGGCCTGGAGCGCAAGGCACAACCCGGCAGGTAGGCAGATTACTCTCGGAAAGCGGCACACATGCATGTGAGACAGGTGCTAGCTGAGGTGCTGCGGCACCCCACTGGCGCTGCCAACGCTGCTGCGCCAGCAATGAAGGAAGTTTCAGCCACTACAAAAGGCCCCCCGAACCCAAGTCTCGAGTGTGAAATAAATGAAGCTCTCGTGTTGGCGGGCCCGGGTGCCCTTGGACCACCACAAGCTGTGTGCAGTGCAGCTGCAGTGCACGCATGCCTTCGATTTCGTTGTGAGATCTAAAAAGTGCTTCAGTTAGGGTGGCAAGTGATCTTAAGCATCTTGGAAAATTATACCAGTGATGCAGATCAAAGAGGGGCAATGGGACGTTGCCTGATCCCTTGAGCACCCTGCTGCGCAATCTGGGGCAGGCCGGCCTTCCGAAGCCAGCCGCGCCAGTGCAACTGTGGGTGTAAATGCATCGCAACCTTGCTTTTCGTGCAACAAGGAACTGCTAGAGGTGCAGCTGGTGACCAAGCCAAGTGCGCCATCCAGCACAAAGTCCTGAGGAGTTGCCTCCTGATGCGCACGCCAAAGCTCCGGTCAACTGACCTGACACAAAAAGAGATGTCTGCAACCAGAGTATGCGAGGGGCCACAAAGGCGTGGCACTGGCACATGTGGGCCACAGGTGCGCACGATCCTCAAATCTTGTCACTGCTCCCAACGTGATGAAGCAGCAGCCGCAAGCAGCAAGGTGTGTGGCGCTGCGCACACCAGTGTTGTTAATGTGACCGGCAAGAGTTATAAGCTTGGGGAGGATGGATTGTGTGATCATTTGGATGATACTCTGGCCGTGCTGGTCACAGGGTGTTTGTTGCTTGCAAGAGGTGCCGCGGGGGCATTAGGCATGCAGCAGTCACACTCGCAGCCAAACATGTGGCGGTGAAATAACAAGAAGCACGCCGGCTCCTCAAAAGGGATGCGTCTCGAATAAGGACTGGTTGTGGCATGATGCGCTCCAGGCCAGCGAAGCTGATGCGTACCCGCAACAAAACTGCGGGTCGGCACCAGCGGGCTCGCTGACTGGAGTTGGATCCGAAAGAGATGAGCTGGATGAGACAAGTTGGATGAGAAAGGGATGGCCAACCTCACCGAGGGCCTAGGAAGTCAAAGCCGCAGGGCTCTTGGAGAGCCTGGTCAGGGATAGGTACCCGTGCGCACCACCAGGAAGGCAGGAGGGGTCCCCCAGCCAAAATTGCAAACCCAGCCGTATGAGGGTATGCAGGACAAAGCAGCTGTAGTTGATGGCTTACGCCCAGCCACTCGCGCATGAGGAGATGCAGGCAGCACCCAAGGCCGGCTGGTGCGCTTCAAGTCGCGCGCCAATGGCAGCCGCACACCCGAGTACAGCATATGCAACGGGCAGCATGGGTGTGGGCTGGGCTTGCTGCAAGAGGGCCCGCGGTGTCAGCACCCCACGCACCAGCAGGCAGGCAAGGTGAGCGATGTTCAGGCCAAACCTGTTGGTCAGCGGTATGCCACGGCAGTCTTGACGGTCTTGCCACCCCAAACAGGCCCGAGGCAGATAGGCAAGCCTGCAACCCAGCCCACACAACCAGCACCATCTACAGTTGCCCTCTTATGCAAGCGTCCTGGTCACTACAGTGACGCCCGCCGCGACATTGCCGGCGCTGTCAATGGCGCACAGCCGGAACCCATACGAAGCAGACGCCCGCAGCCCGGTGAACGCAGCCTCTACCAGCTCCGCGGCGCCCGCGGTGCCCGAGCCGCCGGCCGCGCCGCGCGCCGCGACGGCATACGTGTTGGCCAGCCTGTCCGACGTCGCCTTCTTGAGCGAAGAGCCGCTGCACTTTGAGGGCGCGCTGGCTCCCTGCCGGCCGACCAGCACAAAGGACGCCACGGCTGAGGTTGCGTCGGTGGCGCCCGCGTAATATGATATGAAGATGCTGTCACGGGCGGGGGTGGCCTTGAGCCTCACGTCAGCGGTGCTCATGCTGGGCGCGACCGTGTCGTAGGTGATCATCGCCACAGCGGGCTGCAATGCGTCGGCGTCGCCCTGAGCGGTCGCGTCCTTGAAAAACACGCGGATGGTGCGCTCGCCCTGGGGGAACTGGTTGAGGGTGATCTTCTTGGCGGCGTTGTAGCCGCTCCAGGAGGAGCAGGACGCGGCTGAGTTCGCGGTCTGGGTGACGCACATCCTCGTTTTTGGGGTCGCGCCTTGGGTGGAGATGCCGAGAGTCACGCTGCGCGACGCGGTGTACGCGGCGCCGCCGTTGATGGTCAGAGCCGACGTGGACGTTGCCAGCAAGATGGACGCCGTGGCCGGGGCCGCCATGGCGTTGCCGGCGGCATCCTTGAGCCAGATGTAGACTGTCTTCTTGCCGTCGCCCTCGGCCAGCGTCCAGGCCTGGGTGGGCGCAAACGCCTCAAACCCAGTCGTGCACGTGGCTGTGTTGCTGATGCACATCCACGGCACGCCCGACCCGCCCGCCCCGTCGCTGCCGGCGATGGCAAGTGTCACGTCGAGGGTGTTTGTGCTGAGAGCGCCGCCGTTGATCGTCAAGGTGCCGGTCGGAGGGTCGACGTCGGTCGCGCTGGGCGTGCTGTAAGTGATGACGGCTGTCGCCGCGGTGCTCATCGTGTTGCCTGCGGCGTCACGCAAATACAGCAGAACCGTGCGCGCCCCGCCGGCGCCGGCGGCCAGTGTCCACGCCTTGCTGGGGGTGTAGGCCTCATATGGGGTGCAGGCGCCCGCCGAGACAGGCGCGTTGCTGATGCACATGCTCTGCACGCCGCTGGCGTCGCTGCCGGCGATTGCGAGCGCCACATCAAGGGAGGTAGTGATGGCGTCGCCGCCGTTGATGAGGAAGTAGCTGACGGTTGGGGGGGTGGTGTCAATGACAGGCGCGACATAGGTGATGGACGCCGTGGCTGCGGTGGCCATTGTGTTGCCCGCTGCGTCGCGCAGGTACAGCCGCACTGTGCGGCTGCCGCCGGCGCCGCTGGCAAGCGTCCACGGCTTGGTCGATGCAAACGCTTCATACAAGGGGCAGGCGGCCGCCGAGACGGCGGTGTTGCTCAGGCACATGGTGGCCACGCCGCTGGCGTCGCTCCCTGCGATCATCAAGATGATGGCGAGGGAGGTGGTGGAGGCCGCGCCGCCGTTGATCTGGAAGGAGCTGACTGTCGGGGGCGTGGAATCTGAAGGGGTGGTGCTGATGACGATTGACGCCTGAGCAGCAGAAGCCATAGTGTTGCCAAGCGTGTCACGCAGGTATAAATAAACGGTGCGCGTGCCGTCGGCGCCGGCAGCCAGCGTCCACGCCTTGCTGCCGGCGTAGGTCTCGTACGGCAGACACGCCGCCGCTGAGACAGCCGCGTTGCTCAGGCACATGGTGGCCACGCCGCTGGGGTCGCTGGCTGTGATAGCGAGCGTCACGTTGAGAGAGGAAGTGGAGACGGCCCCACCGTTGATCTGAAAGGTGCTGACTGTCGGGGGTGCGGTGTCGGGGGCAATGTAGTTGATGGACGCTGTGGCGGCCGTGCTCATGGTGTTGCCGGCGGTGTCGCGCAGGAACAGGTACACGGTGCGAGCCCCGTCTGCGCCAGCAGCCAGCGTCCACGCCTTGCTGGTGGCATAGGCCTCAAAAGGCGAGCACGCCGCCGCTGTGACAGCAGTGTTGCTCAAACACATGGTGGCCACGCCGCTGGCGTCGCTGGCTGCAAGTGCAAGTGTCACGTTGAAAGTGGAGGTGGAGACCGCCCCGCCGTTGATCTGAAAGGTGCTGATTGTTGGGGCCGCGGTGTCGGGGGCAATGTAGTTGATGGACGCCGTGGCAGCCGTGCTCATTGTGTTGCCGGCAGTGTCGCGCACAAACAGGTACACAGTTCGAACCCCGTCTGCGCCGGTGGCCAGCGTCCACGCCTTGCTGGCGGCGAAAGCCTCAAAAGGCGAGCACGTCGCCGCCGTGACAGCCGCGTTGCTCAGGCACATCGAAGCGACCCCGCCAGCGTCGCTGCCCGAGATTGCCAGCGTCACGCCGAGCGAGCTCGTGTTTGCGGCGCCGCCGTTGATTAGGACCGAGCCGGTCGGGGGCGTCACGTCGGTTGTGTAGGTGGTGGCCGCCGTGATGGCGGTCGCCATGGCGTTGCCCTGCCCATCCTTCAGGTATACGTACACGGTGCGCGCCCCATTCCCGCCCTCTGCCAGCCGCCACGCCTTGCTGGCCGCGAACGCCTGGAACGGCGCGCACGCCGCCAGCGACGCGGCCGTGTTGCTGACGCACATTTGGGACACGCCGCTCGCGTCGCTGCCAGTGATCGAGAGCGTCACGTCGAGGCTGAGGCTGTTCGCCGCGCCGCCGTTGATCTGGACGGACCCGGTGGGCGGCGAGAAGTCCCCTGAGTTCATGACAGCCACCGCCGCGCTCAGGTCCAGGCGCGTGTGGGTGTAGCCGCTGGCGCTGTCCAACACGGGCTTGCCGCCCGCCCGCATCGCCGCGACGATCTGCGCGACCGTGGCGGACGGGTACGCGGCCTTGAGCACCGCCGCCGCGCCGGCGACGTGCGGCGCGGCCTGGCTGGTGCCGCCCATGCTGTAGCCGCCGGCCGAGATGAAGACCCCAGGGGCGAGCATCGTGAGGTAGGTGCCGCTTTGGGAGAAGCAGGCGACCTGGTCGGCCTGGGATGTGTAGTCTGTGCAGATGCCGCCACTGCATCATGGGTGTGTGTGGGGTTTGGGGGAGAGGGGTTGTGTGTGTGTGTGTTTGTGTGTGTGTGTGTGTGTGTGTGTGTGTGTGTGTGTTGTGGTGGGCAGCAGCAAGGGCGCACACGGTGTGAGAACGACCAGGAGGCGCTGCTTGGTTTGCAGCACATGACAGCAAGCGCGCAAGTGCACAATCGTGCAGTGTCTGCCGGCGAGGGTTAAGGGGGAGCCCCAGCCACACACAGCTTTTGGAAACCACCGCTTGCAGGGCAAGGCCTTGTGCTGCAACAGTGCCAGGCGGCGCCGGTACCCTTGGCGCCAGCCCTCAGGAGCCGGCCCACACGCCGGCGCTCACCCCCATGTCCAGCCGCCGGTGTTTGAATCGTACACAGCGCCAACTGAGATTGCGCTGGGCGCGCAGCCCGGGGAAGCTATTCCGGTCTTGGAGCCCTGGGGAGGGGGGGCAGCAGGGGCGGTTGCAAGGGGACGAGAGCGCGCAGCGTAAGTGCTCAGAAGGGGAAGTAGGGGGATCGCTGCGGCCGGGGCCACGAGCTGCTGAGTCACGTCCAAGCAGCTGCTCGTAATTGTGTTCCTGCAGCATGATGTGCAATGTTTGCAGCACGGCATACCTGGCCTGCCGCCCCGTGCAGGGCGGCGACGGACGCGCGCCCGCTCACCCCATTGCCGGCGGCGACGACGGGCGCGATGCCGGCTGCGCGCGCGGAGGAAAACGCCGACTCGAAGGAGCTCCCTGTGCAGGGCGTGGGCGACACAGAGCTGGAGCCAAGTGACAGATTGATGGCGCAGACGTTGTAGGTCCCGGCTGTCTTGGCGCCGACAGCCCAGTTGATCGCGGCCAGGATGTCTGGGTGTGGATTTG